TGAAGTGGGGACTCCCATAGCCTGGGGTACCAAAATGGGGCCCTGGGGGCAGAGGAAAGGATACAGGCCCCCCTGGGAAAGGAGAGCCCGAAGCCTCATACTCCTCTCGCTGGGAGGAGTCAACGCTGGATCGTTTGCCCTTCTGGCGCCGGTTACAGAACCACACTCGGACCACCTGGGACGGATAAGGGGGAGAGTGAGGTTAGACCATAGGCTGCGGAGGCTGGAAGGCGGGCGGGGAAAGGGTTGAGGCCGTGGGGGCTGGGGGACGGGGTCACAGGGCATCAGGGCTGTGCGCACTCACGTCCTTCTCCAGCCCAAGCTGCTCGGCGATGAGGCTGATCTGCTGCAGGGTGGGCTTCGGGCACTGCAGAAACAGGCTCTCCAGGTTCCCCCGCACGCGGTTCTCGATGCTAGTTCGCTTCCTCTTGCGGGCCTGCACCAGGGTCTCCGCTTTGCATATCTGGGTAAGGGGAGAGGTTCACAAGGACAGGCTTTGGTGTCAGGACTGTGAGCAAACTTAAAGAAAAGCGTTGACTGGATGTGCCCCCAGAGCTGGGGATAGTTACAATAAAGGAGAACCTTAGAAGGGGTGGGGTTGGCCTGGGGCTCAGAATCTCCTTAGCGCAACTGAGGGATCACAGTCCGTCCTGCTTGATCCACTACCCTGTGCTGGTGGGTGAGTGGGAGAACGTGAGCTTACCTATGCTAAGGCCTTGGGGCCGATCCCCAGCACCAAAAAAATACCCACGATACAGATAACGTCTGTCTGCAAGTGGACAAGGGAGAGCTTCAAGACAGATGGAAAGGAGGTACGGAGCTGTGCCAGGTAGACCTGCAGACCCTCACCTCCTGAAGGTTCTCATTATCAGCTTCCTCCACCCACTTCTGCAGCAGGGGCCGCAGCTTACACATGTTCTTGAAACTGAGCTGCAGAGCCTCAAAGCGGCAGATGGTCGTCTGGCTGAACACCTTTCCTGAGGGAGACCAGGCACCGTGAAGTCAGGCAGCACCCAGGTCTCGCTGCCCATCTCCTCACAAGCCAGCTGTCACCTTTCCCACGGGCAGCTCAAGCCAACTGCCTTCTCACAACCCCTATCCACCGTGGGGGAAGGGGAGCCCCCGAACGGCCCTCCCCTCAGTCCTAC